CAGATTCTGCAACAGCTTCTTCCCCACCGCCATCACATTCCACAACAGTTTCTTCTCCACTGCCATTAGACTGCTGAATGTTTTGCAAAATGGGTTATTGTATTGTATTGTATTATATTTATCATATTTTATCATTATTAAAAAAAAAATTGGAACTCTAAGTTTACAGTCATATGTTGCTGTATTTATATAAATATTTTTACTATTTTTCAAGGCTGCACTTTTAAAAAGGATTTAATTGTCCAGAGAGTAGTATTAAACGAAATTTTGTTTTACACTTGTGTAAACAAAATGACAAATAAATCTGTCTAAGTCTAAATATAATCTTTGTGTGTACTTCGTGTGGACATGTCTTTGTTACCCCGTGGAGACAATTTCCCAGAAACATGCTACATTTTGGGGACTTTTAGATACTTGTGGGGACCGATGACTGTTCTCCATGAGGAGAAGTTCTGTTCTTGAAGTGGGGGTTAGGTATATGTTGGTAGCGGTTAGGGTTAGGGCATGAAAATGAATGCAATATGAATGGAAGTCAATGGAAAGACCCCAGAGGGATAGTGTGAAACAAAATCCATATTTAGGTTCACTTGGCTTTTGCTGGGTTGTTGATATCATGGACCTAATCTTTGGGGGGACATGTCCCTGCACTTTTTTAAACATCAACGTCGCCTCCTTGCTTTACTGTCCAAAAACAATGTTACACTACAGTACACAGACACTCGTCCAGCACTAGGACCAAGCAGAAAACTGCCACCCCCTAGCTCCTGATTGGCCCACCGTCTTTTCTTGTGTAATTGGCTGTCACCTCTGTCACTCCTTAGAAACTCACTTTAAAAACATCTGAAGCGCCACTCTATCAGGTCTGTGATTGGATGGTCAAACACACTGGAGTTAGTTATATTAAAAAAATATTTGCATCCCCCACACTTCTAAAATCCAAATTTCGTCCATGATTAATATACGATTTTACTGGGGATTTAATAATAAGGTTTATTGCCATAATGTAAGTCTAGGTTTAATAAAAATTGAATTTTTTTTAA